CTTATACAATGTAGTTTACAAGTGATTGGAGATGCATTTTCTTATGTAGGAAACATGGGCTAGATGACAGTAGATTCTGGCTGACTGACCCCATGCATTAGGGAAGTGTCTCGTGATTCACTGCAGTATGTAGACCATGAACTTGTCCTCTTAAATATATTAATGACTTGGATGAACATGTAGAATGCATGCTCACCACATCTATGGATGATATAAAGCTACCAGGGATACTTAATATGTTAGATGACAGCATCACAATTTTTTAAAAAGTGATTTCAACGAGCTGGACTAGGCCAATATCAACAAGACTTAATTTACTTGGGATAAATGTAAAGTCCTGTCTTCGGGTTCAAAAAGTCAGCTGTATAGCAAGTCATATGATAAAGACCTGGGGAATGTGGTTGACCACAAGTTCAATAATAACAAACAGTCTGAACTGATTAATAAAAAGCCAACTTGATCTTCTACTTTATTAATGGAAGCATAGGGAGGTAATAGCTGGTTAGACTACATTTGGAATACTGTGTGTAATTCCGGCTGCCAGATTTTTAAAAGGGAACATAACACGCTAGAGTGTTCAGACAAGGGTAACTGTGGTGATGGGTCTGGAAATCGCATTTTCTGACGGAATGATTCAAGGAACCAGAAATGTTTGGCCTGGATAAGGGAACACTTAGCAAAGATGTTGGAGCTGCCTTCAAATAATTGTAGCATTGCTGTATTTGAGGGGAAATAAACAATCGGTGATGTCCCAGAGGGCAAAACAAAGATGAATGAACGGATGCTACACAGTAATCACTTTCAGATTGATACAAGAAGAAAATTTCTCATAGCCACCACTACATAAGTAATGACTATTACACTGGGAGCCTTCTGGGGTAAGGCGTCACAGAAGGGATTCTTGTATTAGGTAAACAAGGACAGTAGAAGATCTCTTCTAACCTGTGCTTTGATGAACTTTCAGGTAGCAGTATTTGCAGCCAGGTCGAGACTTCAGAGGACAGGCAGTGGCCTGGGCCTGGTGTAGGAAAAACTGGACTGGACCACATGGGCACAGATCCAGGCTCCGGCTTGCTCCTGCTTAGTTGTAAGTCACCTAGCTGATTACTCTTTAAGCCTCAAATCTTTCATCAGTAAATAAACATAAAAACTATTGCCCTATCTTAGAATTTTTGTATGATCAAAGGCTTTATCTTACCTTTACTGCATTCATTGGTTACTCAAGTCCTTGACGGCAGGAATTATGCCTTACTTAGGGCAAAGGGTTTGGCACCTGATAGGGCCTCAGTAAAAGTTTGAACAAATGAATGGAAGAATGGAGACTGTCCCTGTGAAAATGCTGGGTAAATGGCACAGCGCTGTAGAAACATGAAGGACTTTCATTCTGTCCTCCCCACAAAACAATCAATTTGGAAAGAATCAGCAGTGACACTAACCCAACTACCAAGGTCTGCTAAGAGTCAAGATCATGAGAATTTACTGGATCTTTTTAGAAGGGAATTTACCTGCCAAAGAATCATTTTAATTCACTTTCTTGGGTTCAAACTACTCATTCTTTGCAGTTCAATGGCTCAGTGAGTACTTTTCACAAAAAATTCAATGACTTCCTGTGACTCTTAAGATAAAAACCAAAATCCTTGGTAGGACCTACAGAGCCTTGGCAGGTTTGGTCTCTCATTGCCTCACTAGCCCCCTCTCTTACCCTCTGTCATCTGGCACTGTAGCCAGCCACACTGGCGTTTAGTTCCCTGAAAGGACCACGTTCCCTCTGAACACTGAAGCTCCAGACACACTGCTCTACCTAGAAGATTCCCCACTCTCTTGTCTAGGGAGTGCCTGTTCACCTTGAAGACACAGAGGCAAGGTGTCTCACTCAGAGACAGCCTCCTTGGCCTCTCAAACTAGTCTGCTATATACCCACATAGCACAACTGTACCTTTCCTGCATAGCTCTTCTCAGTGCTTATAATACAACTACCCATGGGATCACATGCTTGTTATCTACCTCTTCCACATGTATACTTGAGGGCAAGGGCTCTGATCCATTTTTGTCCAGTGTATTTTACATAGTCCCAGTACTAAGTTATAATGTCTGGCACATATTAGAAACTCAATGTTTGTTGACTGAATGAATGAAGCAGGCGTCTCAATGTTGCTGGTGGTTAGGTGGTAACTACTAGGTTTTCTTTGTTCCTTGTTTTGAATTTTTCAAAATGATGTTGTCTAATTCTGACAAAAATAGTTTCTGAGTATGATAAATTAAAATCCTATACACTATGACAGGAGACTGAACGATTTTCCTGTAGGATCAAAATTATGACTTGAAATTATCGGTGTAAACTTACTTTCATGCCTTTATTTACTGAGCATCTAAAGACTGTTTTTGCCCTAAAGTCAGACTAACACCCACTATCAAATCATGGGTATGAGCACCGGGTGCCACCTTTAGGTCGCTGGCTGAATAACCATGAGGTGTCTTCTGACCCGGTGTGAGCCAGGGATCCAACTCCAGAAAACCCACAGTAACTTGGCAATCAGTATTCTGCAGTCTATGTGTTAGTAGGTCTTCTTGATAACTGTTGGTCCAAAGAATATTCTGAGATTATACAACTCAGAATACTTCCTCATGCAATACATTTCAAAATTCTACAACATGAGACTATCTTATCTACACAACAGAAGCAGAGGGCCTGAATGAAAAAAAGTTAAAGGAGCTTTCTTCCTTGCAGCATAATGGGCATTTTATGGTGTTTCGATTTTGCTTGCTTAGGTCAGCTTTGAAATTCACGGACCAAGGGCTGAAGAAGTTCCTGGAAGACAAACTCCCTCCTCCAGAAGGACTGCTCCTTCCTTTCATCAGAGGACACAGCTCTCTGCTCCCCAGTGATTTATATGCCCTGGGATATTACTGAGGAGATATTGGTGAGGGTCTGAAACAAATCTTCCTCCAGAGTAGGAAGTAAACCATGGTCTGCAGGACATATGGCACACAGCTCCTAAAAGATTAATGGGAACATGAGACTGCTGGGTCCTCAGACCACGGATGATAAGGGTGTTGGAAAGAGCACCTCCTCTTAGCTTTGAAGTATCCCTGACTACAAAGTTTTGAGGAAATTCAGAGTGAATGGGAATCCCCAAAATAAGGTTTGACAGGAAGAATGCATATTGTAAAGAATTCCCTAGTCAAATATAAGAAAGATTTCAAAAATCTTCAAACCCATGCAGGGGAGTTCAGGGACCCTTGAGAAGCTTGCAATATTTATTGTGTAAATTAATGAGGCTGGGAAAATCTCCTGAGGCTGCACAGATCCCAGGGGTTTTCACTGTTCAGCCCCTGAGCACAGCTGATAGAAAGCACACTCCTGGGTAGTTTGTGGCCACTACAAATGCAGGTCTCCAGGGTGAGTGTGGCCCTCCAGGTTGCTCAGCCATCCCTTCCCCAGTCTCCAGGCAGATCCTTCACCAGTTTCCACAGCTACTGCTCATCCCAGGCCCCTCCCTTTTTCCTTCTCCCCCTTAGCAGATCATTCATTCTACACTTCACAAGTATACTCCACATTAAAGGGGCTTTAATGAAATCTTGAGAGATGAGAAAGCATGTGCCAGGAGGACTGGGAAAAACAGGCAGCAAGGAGTTCCAGGTAAGGAAACAGCATGCATTGTGCTCAGAGCACCAGTTTTGCAGTTCTGCAAGTCTGGATGACATTCCAGGCCTTTTGCTTCAACTACATGCGAATTAGACCAAGGTACTTCTGGAGGTCTTAGTTTCTACTTCTTCCTCTGTGGAGATGATGGTCCCTAACTTGTATGGCTGTTGTCAAGGTTACATGAGAATGAATGTAAAGTGCTTAGCACAATGCTTTGCATGGAGTGATTATTCAATGATAACCATTATTATTACTGTAAATGCATTTATAACTTTAATATGTGGCTTGTAACCATTACAATAGCCTACTTCACAAGCTTGTAAAGACCAAATGAACTAATAAATGTGAAACAACTTTTTTAAAAAGTATGACATAATATTATTCACTCATAAAACGAATGGAGTTCTGATCCATGCTAAAACATGAATGAACCTTGAGGACATTATGCTAGGTGAAATAAGCCAGACACAAAAGGATGAATATTTTATGATTCTACTTATCTGAGATACTTAGAGCAGGCAAATTCATAGAGACAGAGACAAAGAAGAGAGGATACCAGGGGTTGAGGGAGGGGAGAATGAGGAATTACTGCTTAGTGGGTACAGAGTTTCTGTTTGAAATGATAAAGAAGTTTCAGAAATAGTAGTGATGGCTATACAACACTGTAAGTATATTTAATGCCACTAAATTATATACTAACATGGTACATTTTAAGTTCAGAAGAAAGGAAATGCTAAGTTCTTACGCCATTTTCAACAAAATTAGTACCATCAACACCCAGAGTAAGACAGAAACAAATCAGGACATTTTATCTGTTCAGGTTTTTAAAACGGTAGTTATATTTGTGGAGTTTTATGTATTATTAGGATAAATATATGTATTTTAAAATTACTAATTATAAAATACATAATATAAATATATAATTTATATATAAATACATAACACATAAAATGCATAATTTTAAAATACATTACTAATTTTAAAATATATATAATTATTCAAATAATACACAAAAGAGAATTGGTATTACGATCGTACTAACATCTGGACAGCTGAACTATGTTCTAACTAAACAAGCCTGACAATGTGATTTCCATTTGACCTTGGATGAGCTCCAGGATGGGCCTGCTTTTACTAAGTGCTCCTCTCAAGTCAATGGCTGTATAGTCTACTTTGCAGATACACACTTGAGTTTGAGAATTTATAACTTAATGAGGATATAAAAATGAATACACAAGCTCCCTCACAAAGAGAAAAGATGTTCGACATTTAGAAAATTATGTTTAAAAATAGGCAACGAACAAAACCTCAGAAAATGGCATTTTTCTTTGAGTCACTTTTCATGCTCACTGACCTGTGTTCCCTGACTGTTGATGTCAACGGCATCACTCCACTCAGTTGTTACTTCATCTAGCAGTTCAACTCTCAAAAGGAGGCTTGGAAGTAAGTCTTTGGTCTTACAGTCTGGATAACTGGAAATCTGATGATATAGCTCATGATGAATGGAGCATTCAGAGGGAATTTTTTTGCAATAAACCTCAAACTTTGGAATATCTGAAATTCAAAAAAAAAGGCATATACAGAATTATCCCTTAAAGACAGAGACTTAGGTACAGTAAACATAATGTGGCATTCTTCAAGGATCTAGAACTAGAAATACCATTTGACCCAACAATCCCATTACTGGGTATATACCCAAAGGATTACAAATCATTCTATTATAAAGACACTTGCACGCGTATGTTTATTGCAGCACTGTTCACAATAGCACAGACTTGGAAACAACCCAAATGCCCATCAATGATAGACTGGATAAAGAAGATGTGGCACATATACACCATGGAATACTACATAGCCATAAAAAAGGATGAGCTCATGTCCTTTGCAGGGACATGGATGGAGCTGGAAACCATCATTCTCAGCAAACTAACACAAGAACAGAAAACCAAACACTGCATGGTCTCACCCATAAGTGGGTGTTGAACAATGAAAACACATGGGCACAGGGAGGGGAACATCACACACCAGGGCCTGTTGGGGAGTGGGGGGGGTAGGAGAGGGAGAAAAGGGAGGTGGGGATGCTAGGGAGGGACAGCAGTGGGGTGGGGGGCTAGGGGAGGGATAGCATTAGGAGAAATACCTAATGTAGAGGACGGGTGATGGATGCAGCAAACCACCATGTGTATACCTATGTAACAAACTGCACGTTCTGCACATGTACCCCAGAACTTAAAGTATTAAAAAAAAGAAAAAGAGCAGACGGAAGAAGTGTTAGTTTAAATCTACGCTGTGCAGTAGAGTAGCCGCTGGCCACAGGCAGCTATTTAAATTAAAATTAATTGAGATTAGAAAAAAAAAGAAACTTCTCAAAAAGAGATAATTAATAATTATATTTAAACATTTGTTTCACAGGATCACAAACAACTAAATCAAAAAACCCCAGAAAAAAATACACATTTTGTATTATCTCAATTCAATAGTATAAAACATACCTTTAATATTTTCCTTTATAAGCATCGTTACTGGACATCTGTTGTGGATAATGACTCGAGGACTAGGGTCTTTTGAGAGGGTTAAATAAGTCACTCCAAGGTGTTCTTGGTATGTCAGCACTATAGCCCTACAGCAGAATCAAGTCAAATGATGGAAATGGTTTAGGAAAAAAATGAATGCTTTCTCTCTTGGAACATATTTGTTTAGATTAGCATCATTCAGAACTCTAAAACATCTTCTTTATAACTCAGGGGAGATATTTTCCACAAAAAGGAGGCTGTCTTCTCATTAATTGCCATACACTAATTATATTACAAGTCTACTAATTTTTTTCTAATAGTTATATATATTTGTAACATTCATAAAATGTGAAAAAATAAAGGAAAACAAAATAACTCTATCACTCAGAGAGAACTATAGCTAACCCTGTGCTAATATTTCCTGCTGTTCTTTTTTCCCCATGCACATGTGTCTTAAACTCTTCAGCCTGGCAGGATACTTTCTCTTCCTTAAAAGTGCTTGGTAGGCTGGGCATGCTGGCTCACACCTGTAATCCAGCACTCTGTAAGTCCACCACTTTGGGAGGCAAGGCAGGAGGACTGCTTAGGCCCAGGAGCTCAAGACCAGCCTCAGCAACAGGGCAAAAACCCCATCTCTACAGCAAAATACAAAAACTAGCCAGGTGTGGTGGCACACACCTGTGGTCCCAGCTACTTGGGAGGCTGAGGTGGGAGGATGACGGGCTGGAGCCTGGGAGGTGAGCCATGATTGTGCCATTGCACTCGAGCCTGGGTGACAGAGCAAGACTCTGTCTCAAAAAAAAAAAAAAAAAAAAAAAGAGCTGACCTGCTTTTAAAAAAAGGACTACTAGAGAATTTGGGTGCTTGTTCTTTTTTTAATTCGAAAGGTAGGCAGGCTGATAATGTTTGCTGTCAATTTCTACAAGCCCATCACACTTAAAAAATGTTCATTTTGATAACTAGGAGTAAAGCTGCATTATTTGGAGTTAGAAAACCAGCTGTGTGAGTATAGGTTGCCTTCTGTGATGAAGAGAAATTTTCCTATTTAGATTACAGACTACCAGAAAGAGTATTTCACATTAAAGCAGGAAAAAAAAATTACTTTGAAGCCTAAATTACATGGACAGATTGTCAAAATTAATCAAAGAAATCAGATAATTTGCCAAATGTGGCCCTTTGCTGACTAAAAGGGGTCAATACTGCTCTAAAAATCTTCCATGTGCCATCCATCCTATTTGCCAGTGTGAGTACTTCCCAAAGATTGTATTTGTGTGAAATGTCAGAGTGAATGGTCCATTAGCATTTGGTAAAAGCACAGTAATAACACCATCTAACGTGTGCTGTTGGTTGGACTGATGGAAGGAAATAGATGAGGAGATGGGACAGCATGAAATAAATTCATTTTCAGAGTACAGCTCTTGGATAAACAGCGAAGTTCCTTTCCCAGCCTAATTTTAAAAGAGCAAGGCAAGCCAACCTCAGATAATTTCTTTTTGATAGCCAAGAAAGCTGGGGCCAGGACTCAAGTATGGTACTTTTTGTCCAATATCTAGCTTAGTATTTTAGATAAGATTAAATTATACTGTAATTCTCAGCATTTTAAACTTTATTTCCAAATTAAGCTTTGTTTGAAATTTTCTTTCAGTTTTAAAAATGTTTTATTTATAGACATGAGTTCATGTAACTTTCAAAAACACCTCCTTAAACTCACTATACTTAACATCTCCAAACAGAATATAAGGATAACCACTCCTCTACAGTGTTAGGGATGAGAAATATTTGTAAATTCAAGGATTTTGTGAATACTGTGAAAGACGGAGGGATGTGTGTAGAGAACGGAGCCTTACCATTATGAATAACGTAAGTTAGGCTTGTCTCTTAAAATATTACTATTAAAAATATCTGTTGTCTTTTAAAATGTTTCATCAAAAGAACATGGCTAAAACCTGAAATAAAGTCTATAAATTCATAATCATGAAAATAAGGTACCTCTCATAAGGTCACAATATGTTTCTTTTGTAGCTGTTATATATACTATAAGTAAGTTATTCTTGACAGCTGCAGAAGGGACACATTACATGCAAAACAACCACATGATAGAAGTCCAGTATGAACAAACCATTCTATGTCTCTGGCTTGATTCTGTGGTTATCATTTGCATAATTGGTAATCGGTAATTGGAGCAACTTGCGTGCAGGAACCACCACAGAACAGAGTCTTCTGTGACTTGTGTTTATCTCAGTTATCTCTCTTAACGACTTTTTGAGAAAAATAGCATTTTGGAGTAAAAGTAAAACATGGGAAAAGAAAAGGTTTTCCAACTTGACTTGTTCATATCTTAACCCTGGTAATTTTTTCATTACGATATGATCTATTTTCATACGATGCTATTTATATGATCATACATAGAATCTTTTTATACACTGCCATTCTGTGGTACAAGTACCATCATTTCCCCCCAGCATAAGCTCCATAAGAGAAAAATCTCTTAAGCAGGATACTGGGATAAGCCATATGTGATCATACCACTTGAGCCAGTGTACACAATGTCTAGAAGTAATTAAAAATAAAGTAAAGCCTAGTATTACATATGGGAAGCACTGCGACCATTTTATCTCTCTTGGCATCTAGATGAACAGAGAGACTGACGGGCAAATAAGAAAGACATTTATATAAACATAAAATACCTGGTACAGAATCCATTTTCCCTGCAATTCCCAAAGGGTACTGCCACACTCTGTCTGGGAAACTCTGGTCTAACTATAGCTGGCAGGCTCCAGCACTGTGAGCTGTCAGCACCTGGGGCAGGAGAAAAGCCCAGCAGGATTTGTTTCTCAAGCAGGGATGCATCCAGCACTGATTGACTGATGTCAGGCATCAAGTCCCAGCAAGGAAGGGAGCTGGATTTCATAGCAGGCTGCTCTCCACCTGGGCAAACGCTAAAAGTAGCACTGTCTGGAACGTGAAAATGCTAAAAGAAGAAAACACAATGCAGAGAGTACATTAACTACAGTGATACAGCAAAGTTAAACGTTTTATAGCAAATCTTTTTTTTTTTTTTTTTTTTTTTGTTTTGTTTTTTTTTTTTTTTTTTTTGAGATGGAGTCTCACTCCATTGCCCAGGCTGGAGTGCAATGGCACGATCTCAGCTCACTGCAACCTCTGCCTTCCAGGTTGAAGCAATTTTCATGCCTCAGTCTCCCGAGTAGCAGGGACTACAGGCACACACCACAACGCCCGGCTGATCTCAAACTCCTGACCTCAAGTGATCACGAGGTCAGGAGTTTGAGACCAGCCTGGCCAACATGGTGAAACCCTGTATCTATTAAAAATATAAAAATTAGCTGGGCGTTGTGGTGCGTGCCTGTAGCCCCTGCTACTTGGGAGGCTGAGGCAGGAGAATAGCTTGAGCCTAGAAGGCAGAGGCTGCAGTGAGCGGAGATTGCACCATTGCACTCTAGCCTGGGTGACAGGGCTAGAACCCATCTCAAAAAAAAAAAAAAAAAAAGAATTCCTGGGCAAGATGGTCGAATAGGAACAGCTCTTGTGTGCAGCTCCCAGTGAGACCAACACAGAAGGTAGATAGTCTCTGCATTTCCAACTCAGGTACCTGCTTCATCTCACTGGGACTGGTTAGACAGTGGGTGCAGCTCACAGAGGGTAAGCAGAAGCAAGGTGGGGGTCACCTCACCTGGGAAGCACAAGGGGTTGGGGAACTCCCTCCCCTAGCCAAGGGAAGCCATGAGGGACTGTGCCATGAGGGATGGTGCTGTCCAGCCCCGAATACTATGGTTTTTCCATTGTCTTCACAACCCATAAACCAGGAGATTCTCTTGGGCGCCTACACCACCAGGGCTCTGGGTTTCAAGCACAAAACTGGGTAGCCATTTGGGCAGAGACCGAGCTAGCTGCAGGAGTTTATTTCTGTACCCCATCAGTGCCTGGAATGCCAGCAAGACAGAACCATTTACTCCCCTGGAAAGGGGGCTGAAGCCAGCGAGTCAAGTGGTCTTGCTCAGTGATCCCCAATTCCTACAGAGCCCAGTGAGCTAAGATCCACTGGCTTGAAATCCTTGCTGTCAGCAGAAGCAGTCTGAAGTGGAGCTGGGACTCTGGAGCTTAGTGGTGGGAGGGGCATCCACCATTACTGAGGCTTGAGTAGGCGGTTTTCCTCTCACAGTGTAAACAAAGCCACCAGGAAGTTCAAACTGGGCAGAGCCCACTGCAGCACCACAAAGGTGCTGTAGCCAGACTGCCTCTCTAGATTCCTCCTCTCTCAGCAGGGCATCTCTGAAAGAAAGGCAGCAGCCCAGTCAAGGGCTTATAGATAAAACTCCCACCTCTCTGGGACAGAGCACCTGGGGGAAGGGGTGGCATTGGGCATAGCTTCAGCAGACTTAAATGTTCCTGCTTGCCAGCTGTGAAGACAGCAGCAGCTCTCCCACCACAGCACACAAGCTCTGCTAAGGGACAAACTGCCTCCTCAAGTGGATCCTTGACCTCTGTGCCTCCTGATGGGGAGGCACCTTCCAGCAGGGGTGGACAGACAGCTCATACAGGAGAGCTCCAGCTGGAATCTGGTAGGTACCCCTCTGAGACAATGATTCCAAAGGAAGGAGCAGGCAGCAATCTTTGCTGTTCTGCAGCCTCTGCTGGTGATACCCAGGCAAACAGGGTCTGGGGTGGATCCCCAGAAAACTCCAGCAGACCTGCAGAAGAGGGGCCCGTTAGAATGAAAACTAACAAACACAAAGCAACAGCATCAACATCAACAAAAAGGATGACCATGCAAAAATTTCATCCAAACATCACCAACAGCAAAGACCAAAGATGAGGGAAACCAGAGCAAAAAGGCTGAAAATTCCAAAAACCAGAATTCCCCTTCTTCGCCAAAGTGTCACAACTCCTTGCAAGCAAGGGAACAAAACTGGATGAAGAATGAGTTTGATGAATTGACAGATGTAGGGTTCAGAAGGTGGGTGATAACAAATTCCACCAAGCTAAAGGAGCATGTTCTAACCCAATGTAAGGAAGCTAAGAACCTTGAAAAAAGGTTACACAAATTGCTAACTAGAATAACCATTTTAGGGAAGAATATACATGACCTGATGAAGCTGAAAAACACAGCATGAGAACTTTGTGAAGTTTACACAGTATCAATAGCCAAATCGATCAAGCAGAAGAAAGGATATCAGAGACTGAAGATCAACTTAATGAAATAAAGCAGGAAGAGCAGATTAGAGAAAAAAGAATGAAAAGGAACAAACAAAGCTTCCAAGAAATATGGCACCATGTGAAAAGATAAAACTACATTTGATTGGTGCACCTGAAAGTGACAGGAAGAATGGCACCAAGCTAGAAAACACACTTCAGGATATTATCCAGGAGACCGTCTCCAACCTAGCAAGACAGGCCAACATTCAAATTCAGAAAATACAGAGACCACCACAAAGATACTCCTTGAGAAGTGCAACCCCAAGACACATAACTATCAGATTCACCAGGGTTGAAATGAGGGAAAAAATGTTAAGGGCACTCAGAGAGAAAGGTCAGGTTACCCCCAAAGGGAAGCCCATCAGACTAACAGCAGATCTCTCTGCATAAACCCTACATGTCAGAAGAGACTGGGGGCCAATATTCGACATTCTTAAAGAATTTTCAACCCAGAATTTCATATCCAGCTAAACTAAGCTTCCTAAGTGAAGGAAAAATAAAATCCTTTACAAACAAGCAAATGCTGAGGAATTTTGTCACCATCAGGCTTGCTTTACAAGAGCTCCTGAAGCAAGCACTAAACATGGAAAGGGAAAACCGGTATCAGTCACTGCAAAACATACCAAAATGTAAAGACCATAGACACTATGAAGAAAGTGTACCAACTAATGGGCAAAATAGCCAGATAGGATCATAATGACAGGATCAAATTCAAACATAATACTATTAACCTTAAATGTAAATGGGCTAAATGCTCCAGTTAAAAGGCACAGACTGGCAAATTGGATAAACAGTCAAGACCCATCAGTGTGCTGTATTCAGGAGACCCATCTCATGTGCAAAGACACACATAGGCTCAAAATAAAGGGATGGAAGAATATTTATTAAGCAAACGGAAAGCAAAAAAAAGCAGTGGTTGCAATCCTACTCTCTGATAAAACAAACTTTAAACCAATAAAGATCAAAAAAGACAAAGAAGGAGATTACATAAAGTGATCAATGTAACAAGAAGAGTTATTTATCCATCTGACAAAGGGCTAATATCCAGAATCCACAATGAAGTTCAACAAATTTGCAAGAAAAAAACAACCCCATCAGCAAGTGGGTGAAGGATATGAACAGACACTTTTCAAAAGAAGACATTTATGTGGCCAACAATCATATGAAAAGAAGCTTATCATCACTTGTCATTAGAGAAATGCAAATCAAAACACAATGAGATACTATCTCATGGCAGTTAGAATGGTGATCATTAAAAAGTCAGGAAACAGGCCGGGTGCGGTGGCTCAAGTCTGTAATCCCAGCACTTTGGGAGGCCGAGGCGGGTGGATCACGAGGTCAAGAGATCGAGACCATCCTGGTCAACATGGTGAAACCCCGTCTCTACTAAAAATACAAAAAATTAGCTGGGCATGGTGGCGAATGCCTGTAATCCCAGCTACTCAGGAGGCTGAGGCAGGAGAATTGCCTGAACCCAGGAGGCAAAGGGTGCGGTGAGCCGAGATCGCGCCATTGCACTCCAGCCCGGGTAACATG